GTGGAAAGGGCCGCGCACGTTGTCAATTGGATGCGTGTGGATGGCAAGTTGGGTGGATTCGCCGCAGGTGTGTGGAGACGGGGCCGGCGCTGCGCTTTTGCGGGGGGCTCGGTGTGGACAAGCCTCGGTCACTTGGTGGGTCTGACGCCTGTCTGAAACAAGTCTGAGACATAGTGTTACCACGATCTGCGTAGACCGGGGTCAGCTGTTCGGATGTTCATGCGCCCTTTTGTTTGGGCCGAGTGCGCTCAGCATATTCATGTCAACGTGCTTCCAGGCTGCTTCCAAATAAGTAGGGCGAACCCCAAGAGGCTACAGCTTCTGAAGAGAGGGTTCGTCCTAGAAACACATTGGCGCCATTTGTTCGGGTCAGGTGTGCGGCAAAAATGGCAATTTTGGCGCACCTGGAACGCCGGGCTGTTCACATGGAGCCGTGCACGTGGCCTTCACAAACTTGCTTCGTAAGCTTGCTTGGATTCGTTAGTTTCTCCACCCGGCTTTGCGGGGGGCTTGGTGTGGACAAGCCTCGGTCACTTGGTGGGTCTGACGCCTGTCGGAACAAGTCTGAGACACAGTGTAGACCGGGGTCAGCTGTTCGGATGTTCATGCGCCCTTTTGTTTGGGCCGAGTGTGGTCAGCATATTCATGTCAACGCGCTTCCAGGCTGCTTCCAAATAAGTAGGGCGAACACCAAGAGGCTACAGCTTCTGAAGAGACGGTTCGTCCTAGAAACACATTGGCGCCATTTGTTCGGGTCAGGTGTGCGGCAAAAAGGACAATTATGGCGTACCTGGAGCGCCGGGCTGTTCACATGGAGCCGCGCACGTGGCGGTTGCCGCATGTCATGAGCGTCCACCGCGCCAGTCTCGCTCGCCGGCATGTCACGAGCGTCCACCGCTCCAGTCTCGCTCGCCGGCATGTCGCGAGCGTCCACCGCGCCAGTCTCGCTCGCGGGCGGTTTCCGCATGTCACGAGCGTCCACCGCGCCATTCTTGCTCGCGGGCGGTTTCCGCATGTCACGAGCGTCCACCGCGCCAGTCTCGCTAACGGGCGGTTTCCGCATGTCACGAGCGTCCACCGCCAGCTCGCTCGCGGGCGGTTTCCGCATGTCACGAACGTCCACCGCGCCAGTCTCGCGCGGGCGGTTTCCGCATGTCACGAGCGTCCACCGCGCCATGCTCACGAGCGTCCACCGCGCTAGTCTCGCTCGCGGGCGGTTTCCGCATGTCACGAGCCTCCACCGCGCCAGTCTCGCTCGCGGGCGGTTTCCGAATGTCACAAGCGTCCGCCGCGCCAGTCTCGCTCGCGAACGGTTGTCCACCGTGCCAGTCTCGCTCGCGGGCGGTTTCCGCATGTCACGAGCGTCCACCGCGCCAGTCTCGCTCGCGGGCGGTTTCCGCATGTCACGAGCGTCCACCGCGCCAGTCTCGCTCGCGGGCGGTTTCCGCATGTCACGAGCGTCCACCGCGCCAGTCTCGCTCGCGGGCGGTTTCCGCCTGTCACGAGCGTCCACCGCGCCAGTCTCGCTCGCGGGCGGTTTCCGCATGTCACGAGCGTCCACCGCGCCAGTCTCGCTCGCGGGCGGTTTCCGCATGTCACGAGCGTCCACCGCGCGCCAGTCTCGCTCCGGTCGCTCCACCGCGCCAGCATGTCACGAGCGTCCACCGCGCCAGTCTCGCTCGCGGGCGGTTTCCGCATGTCACGAGCGTCCACCGCGCCAGTCTCGCTCGCGGGCGGTTTCCGCATGTCACGAGCGTCCACCGCGCCAGTCTCGCTCGCGGGCGGTTTCCGCATGTCACGAGCGTCCACCGCGCCAGTCTCGCTCGCGGGCGGTTTCCGCATGTCACGAGCGTCCACCGCGCCAGTCTCGCTCGCGGGCGGTTTCCGCATGTCACGAGCGTCCACCGCGCCAGTCTCGCTCGCGGGCGGTTTCCGCATGTCACGAGCGTCCACCGCGCCAGTCTCGCTCGCGGGCGGTTTCCGCATGTCACGAGCGTCCACCGCGCCAGTCTCGCTCGCGGGCGGTTTCCGCATGTCACGAGCGTCCACCGCGCCAGTCTCGCTCGCGGGCGGTTTCCGCATGTCACGAGCGTCCACCGCGCCAGTCTCGCTCGCGGGCGGTTTCCGCATGTCACGAGCGTCCACCGCGCCAGTCTCGCTCGCGGGCGGTTTCCGCATGTCACGAGCGTCCACCGCGCCAGTCTCGCTCGCGGGCGGTTTCCGCATGTCACGAGCGTCCACCGCGCCAGTCTCGCTCGCGGGCGGTTTCCGCATGTCACGAGCGTCCACCGCGCCAGTCTCGCTCGCGGGCGGTTTCCGCATGTCACGAGCGTCCACCGCGCCAGTCTCGCTCGCGGGCGGTTTCCGCATGTCACGAGCGTCCACCGCGCCAGTCTCGCTCGCGGGCGGTTTCCGCGTGTCACGAGCGTCCACCGCGCCAGTCTCGCTCGCGGGCTCGGTTTCCGCATGTCACGAGCGTCCACCGCGCCAGTCTCGCTCGCGGGCGTCCCCGCAGCCAGCCAGTCTCGCTCGCGGGCGGTTTCCAGCCACGCCCAGTCTGCGTCCCCCCAGCCAGCCAGTCTCGCTCGCGGGCAGTTTCCAGCCAGCCTCGCGCACCCAGTCTGCGCCACACCGCCGTCCCCCCAGCCAGCCCCACACCGCCGTCCCCCCAGCCAGCCTCGTACGCCCGGTCTGCACCCCCAGCCGGCATCGCACGCCCGGTCTGCAGCACACGAAATGGAAATCCCTTCTTATCTCCGTCGTCACAGCTTGTATCGCTCCCAGGCACCTTAAGAGAAAACCTAAAGCAGAACCCAAGCATCAGAGATGCTTTTGGGAAAAAAGAAATTCCTCGCAACCTCTATGCTGTCCAACTGCGAGGCCCCAGGCCCTGTGAGAGATCCCGCGGCCTCTGCAAAAACCACACAGCCCATCCAGCGTGCGGCCGAGGAAAAGGCTCGAAAAAGTGGGCGCCCCACGTGGCACCCATTTAGCCACAAGCCGTGTTGCGGCAGGCAAGAAAAGCAGAGGCCTATGATGGCCTGCTCAATGCCAACTTGCGCCATTGCAGCTCAGCCTCGTGTGATTTTGATTCCCGCTCGTTTAGGGCAAGGCTTTTCACACAATTTTGTAGACCGAAACGCTTTCTTGGTTGCTTTCTGCTCCCCCTGCTAAAAGTTTAACAATTTTTGTGGTTTAGTGGAAAACCCATTCGTTGGCAACAAGTTCAAGTCCTAACAGCCGTTGGGAAAATGCACCAAGGCTTTCCTGAACACCAACGCAATGGCAAGCCGTCCTTCAAGCACGCGACTGTGCAGGCCTCAGGACCCAGGCACCTACAAAGAGTTTGCGCCTGGCAGGAGCCAGCACAAGCGCCGGGCCTTTCAAGAGATCGAGCGAGGGCTGTTGCCTTAGCTGAAGCGTCGCCCTGGCATGGCAATCCTGCCAAGGGCTCTGGAATGTGTTTAACATGGTTGGAGATGCTTGGCAAGAAGCGCAACAGCCCCTCATTCATCCGCACAAATTCCGCCAATCTGCATCCCAAACGAATTCCCGCAGTGCTGCAGGCCATACCAGCAAGGCTGGTGTCTGACAACGGCCGTCAACTCCGGTGGCATGGGCAATTGCGCTGTTTGCCCATAAAAGGGAGAAACGCATTTGAAAAAACTTGTTGCGGACGGCCGCTTGTGCCTTCTGTGGCCTCAGAGACGCGCCAAGGTGCTGCCATTTGTGGCCAGGTACAAAGCCCCTGGGCAAGGCATTGAAATTTAATGCGGCCGCATCGCAGGGCCAAAGGGGGCACTTGGCCAGACAAAACCCATCAGAAGTCCGAATCAGCGCCAGCCTGCCCATGGAGTTGTTCTTGCAAGACCATGCTTGAAACTGATATTGATGCCAAGGGAAAGCAAGGTCCCAACACCTCACTCACATGTGCTGCCATGGTTCCTTTGACAGGAATCATGCTAATGCTTGGTTGCTGTTGACCCCCATGCAAAATGTGAATCACTTTTTGGGGGTTTAGTGGAAAACCCGACTTGATTTCCCAAAAAGTTAAAGTCTAAAGATCCAACCCAATAGCAGTCAAGAAGGGTTGTCAAGCATGATAACCATCCCTGACTTCAAGCAAGGGAACCGGTCTTACCATGGCACACCTAGGAAACGCTTTTGAGAAATGCGATATTTTTTAGCTTGGCTGTTTAGTACCCCCCCCTACCATAAGGGGGAGGGGTGTGGGGAGTCCCACAATTCCATTTATTCAGTCTTCCAACCACAAAAGCAAAAATGGAAGCCGTAATGGAATTCTAGGGGTCACCCCCCTCCCCCAATTCCATTTGAAGGGGGCGGGGATTGCTTAGCCCTCCCCAGCATGCAGCATTACAATTTGCAGAATTTCGTTCATTATTCTCTATGACGCCATCATCCAAACAAACAAGAACTGAGTTGCAGTTTGTACTGTATATATTGTATGGTATGCATGCACACATATATGGAGACATAAACTTGACTTTCATTGCACCGAGTAGATAACACAAGCAATGTTGCTGAGATTAGGGGAAAGTAGACCTGAGTTTGGAGACTCTCCAACTCGCGGCTGAGTTTGGAGCATCCCAAAAAAGCAGGCTTACCGTGGAACAGGAGAAGCAGCGGCCAAATTGGAAGCAAACTTGGTCAGTGATCGTCAATCTCAGGCCCAGCTCTTATCAACCTTGTCTTTCAAACTGGCACGCCATACATTCGTTCTTGCACAGCTTCCAATAGGCTAAGACCTTCGAACAACATGGTGAACTGCTCAAGGGCATTGAACAATTCCTGGCCTGTGCCCTTGCAAAGCGGGCTGAAAGGGCTTTCTGGAGGTAAATGGCTTGCCCTGCCAGTTGGGAATGTGGTCTTTTCACACATGGAAAGGGCACTTACCGTTGGAAAAAGGCCCGCCCTCGGTCCAGTTGGCAAACGCTCCTCGGCAGACCTTGCAAACGGACAGCGCCTGCCAGCCGTCGAGCTTACTCCATTTCCTCGACAGGAACGGGCCTCAGTGTCTGCACGGGCTGAACAGGGACAAGTGGGAGGCACATCCATATTAGCTACATCAAGTCAAGGAAACGTTAATGTCAACCCAGCGCAAGTCTGAGTTTGCCATTTGATGCCCGAGGAGGGAACAAACAAGCGATCCGACGAACACATGCCTCCTCCCACATGAGAATGCACATGCCAGCCCAGCCCAGCCTGCCCCAAAGAAAATAAAACCAAAGCCTGCGACTAGAGCAAGTCCGCTGTACATTAAGCATGACAAGGCCCAAGGCTGCTCGCTCGCAGCTGAACGCGCTGATCCTTTGCAACTCTCTGAGCGATGGCTGTAAGTAAAACAAGCTCGGGCGCTGTGAGGCTAATATTAAAGCCTGAAATTGCGAGGCAATACTTTGTTTGCTGCTTCTGACACGGCTGCCTCCACTATCCTCCACTCTCTTGCTGCATTTGCTGTGTTCCCAAGACTTCATGTATCGCGACCAACCTACTGGGGCGCCAGTGCGAACTGGACCCACGTCGCGAAGTTGGGCCACTGCATGGGCACAGCACGCGATTCAGGGCAAAGTCAACCCCGCATGGTAGAATGCTAATGGGCGCACATCAAAACGGAAGGTGCCGCAACGATGTTCAAACGTGGACCGCTAATTGCGAACATCGCGTGAAATGCATATTCTGGCCAGTGCGTAGCCTCGTGTCCGGCGCAACACAGGGCTTCGAACAATGTCCGCTGTTTGCGACATCTATCCAGGCTAGTGCCTTGAACAATGGGCAAATTAAACCGCAACCATTTAAGCAGCTGATGAACCCCTTTGTCTTCGGCAATGCCAAAACTAGCCTGATCGTTTGCACTCGCTAACTATCAGGATGGCGCTGCAACAAAATCGAAGCAAAACAAGAGCAGTTTCTGTTTAGTACAAGTGTAGTATGCCAAAGATGCTTTGGCAGCTCCAGCTCAAACAACAAGCTTTGGCAGCTCCAGCTCGAGAATCATATGGACTCGCCTTGCACTCGTTTCCTTGCTTGCTTTGGTTTGCTCCTTGCGCTTCCTGAAGGTGGCTGCGCGCAATTCGCCTCTGCATCATTGCAGCGATCTCGTGTCCTCTTGTTTCGCATGCCTAGAACACCATGTCCTCTGACCTCGTTGAGCGGGGGACCATCTCCTTTCACGGTTAAATCTCAAGATGTCCGGTTGGCCATGGTTGGCCGACCGCATCAATACATGTCTTCAATTGTTGGATGATTGGTGGGTGGCTCATTTAAAAAGCGACAGTGATCAATTGCGCGCTCTGTAAAAGTATCCTGTGTATCATTTGTGTTGTTTCTCTCTCTCTCTCTCTCTCTCTCTCTCTCTCCGTCGTTGTGTGATCTCTTATTTTATGTTGCTTTTTTATCGTATCATGCGTGGCAGTGCCGATGCGTTCTAAAAGAAAGTATTCCTTGATTCCTATGGCGTCTAACTTGCCCTAACGACCTGCTAGAAAGAGGTCAACCTGTGCAACCCATGACTAATAATCCCCAAAGGCCAGAAGATCCACATGCTCCACCTTTCGGCAGGGAAGGCCCCGCATTGATCACGTGGGCTTCACACTGGCATGTTCAAAATAGGGAGAACCCCCAAAATGGGTGGTTTCTTTTGGTCCCCTTTCAACCAATCCCAAAAGTGTTGCCTCAAGAAAAAACACTCGCCCAACACTTGGTTGTTGACCCCCCTGCAAAAAGTGAATCACTTTTTTGGGGTTTACTGGAAAACGCACAAGTTAAAGTCTAAAGATCCGTTGCCCAATAGTGCCTTGTACATGCTGGTTTCCTTATAGGTTGGTGGAAAAGCAACACGCTTTAAATGGTTGCAAGACGTATCTTTTATGGAGCCCTGCATTAGCTTGGACAGACGTTGACGTGGAAAGCCGAGCATTCTGAGCGCTGAACAGTGGCACCCATGCGGGCATCTCTGGCACACCCTGAGGGCTGAGACGGGTTTGGAGGTGGGTGAAATACGGAAAAACCCAATGCACTCAACCAACTGAAACCCAAAAAAAGCTACGGAACCGGATCTTGGCCGGAAAAAATTGGGACCCCGGCGAAAAAATATAGATCTTGTTTGCCTGGTGAGTGGAAAAAAAACACAAAAGCAAACAAAAATATAAAAAGGGGAGCGAATTCTGGGGAAGGAACTACCCTCCTTACCACTCACATGATGCACCTGACCGGAAAAAGGGGACGTGGTAACTTCCATGAGCTTCTTTTGTAGGTGCCCAGTTGTCTTGCCAGCGTCAGACCATCAGACCAACACGGGTAACATTGGGACTTCGGTTGTCCTGCATGCAACTGACAAGTGGGTGCTTGGATGATAGATGCTACCCAAGAGATCTGCAAAGTGGTTGGAGCAACTTGGAGCAACATCATTGCCAGCGCAGTATTACTTGGCATTCAGGTAGCTCAACATGGCTCTGTGTACGTGTGGGTGTTTGGAGCCCTGTGTTGGTGGGCCTTTTTTCTGGCAAATCCAAGGGGAAACCCACCATTTCAAGGGCCTAATTTGTGCGGAACAGAGACCCACAAGCGTAAGGGCACCGCTCAGCTTGATGCGCTCCAAGTCCCCATCCAGGCCCATCAGTCGGCTCTGGGCAAGCAGCTCTCTGAAACAACCTTATTGCATGGAGAGGTAGCAGCTGGATTGCAGAAACAGAATTCAGTCTTCCTCTATTTTGTGGCTTGGATTGGTGGTTCGGAAGTTAGGGGGTGGTTTCCCATATACCCTCACGCGCGCAATGGTTTTGAAAGTATATTTCTCAAAACCTGAGTGAAAGCTCTCTGAGAAAAACACCCAACCTTGGCCGATCTCAGACTTGACGGCTGCCATTAGTTGTGCAAATCGCATGTTAGTGTTACGCAGTGCCCCAAAGAGCAAGGCAAATAGCAAACAAACTGTCTTCCAGTGTGGGGTCCGCAGCAAATTTCGCCGGCCACCGCCAAGTCGTCATTGAAACGAACCCGCGGTCTGCTCATTGGGGTTTCAATTTGCTCCAACCCATTTGGCCACCATGCGAGAAGCCGCAAGGTAAACACTGCCAAAGGTGACATGTCGGCCTTGGCGTTGGCGAAGTCGTCCTTAGTGCGTGCTAGTTGCCCGTTTGGTCATGTCGGCTTGCGCGTAAACAGGCGGCGGCAATGACATCCCCGGTTTCCAACGTAGTTGTCTTTCGGGTCGGATGGACATCTACAATGGAATATATGAATGCTTCATATTGGCCGCCAAGATGCAGATTTGTGGAGACGCTCACACACATACATACACATACGTAAATCATACATACAAATATGTATATACATATAAGCATATTATATATATATATATATATTAATATAAGTGCATGCCCGTCATACCTGTATGCGCCCATATTAGGAGAACAAGGTCTGCCAGCTATCCTAGCCTAATTGCCAGTCTCTCAAATCCACAGAACATAACAATCAGCGTGAACACCCCTTGCACGTACGCAACTCTGCACGCAAGAAGCTTCACACCAACCGTCTAAGAGAATATGACGATCTGACGCGTGGATTCACAACCTCACTGCCAAAGCCAAACCAAATTGTTCAAACCCCTGGCCGAAATGTCTGAAAATGATCGCGAAACGAACAACTTCAGCCCTGAACTGCCCACTCGACATGGTCAAGCAACCTGGACATGAAACATCCCAGGTGCCCAAAGAACATGTTCATTCCTTTGAGCGGCAGCACGCCACGGCTTTGTTACTGGCGTCACAAAAGCCCTCAGCAAAGCACCCACAAATCACCTTGTGCAATACCGCCACGCCGGCTCGGGAACGCGGCATTCGACTGAATCGGTCCGCTGAGCAGTGACATCTCTGAGCTCCTTTCTGAAAAAGGGACACCCTTCTGGTTTGGGAGCGGAGGCCCGCCCAAACTTGGAGAGGGGTGCCATAAGGAGCCTAAGGACTCCTGAGCTCCTGGCTGGCGGCTCGCAGCAAAACTTGCCCAGAAGCGGCCTGGGCGAATGGCCCAGCTGGTAAAAGCACTTCATCGCTTTAGTTCATTGCGATTTGGCCATGGGTCAAAACCCCGTACCACCAGTGAACATCCCAATCCCAACTAAAATAGACTAAAATGAGTGGTGCACCTACCCCAAAATGGTACCATTGGTTTTGACCCACAGCTATTTAGTGCCATGAGCGCAGCTGGACTTATCCAGCCCGTACCCTGTCCATTGTCGCCCGTTGCTTGCGCATGAACACACAGTGCGCGCGAAGTGCAATTCTGCCCATGTGAATATGCCAGCGCCGGTTGGCTTAATTTAACTCAACCTCGCAGACGTGTGTTTGTCTGTTTGTTTGTTTGTTTGTTTGTTTGTTTACGTTTGTTGTTGTTTTTCTCTCCCGCACTCTTTTCTTAGGAGAGGGCAACTCTCGGCAGCCCCCAAGCTTGGCGCAAATCCTACCAAGGACACCGGTGTGATTGACAGCCGTGCCACCAAGGAAAGGCAGCCCTTCCGGCCCTGTTCGAATGCTGAATGCTGCTCTCAAAATGACGTGTAGCATCGTATCCGTGTCCAACTCAAAACAACCATGAACATGTCCATCTGTGGCTGTTGCATGGTGGCAGCCAAGGGACGCAAAGCAACTGACAAACCAAAATAACCCGCGCAAATGAAGGATGTCACGGATGTCCCAACCCTGTGACAAAGGCTACCAGTAGTGAATGGGGACTGCCAAAGGGGTTCACCGTCAAGGGACAAATGGCGCCAATGAACACTAGGCAGCGCAGTTGTGTCCCAAGTCACTGTGCACATGGCAGCAAAACAAGAAAAGGGGTAGGTGCACACGCTGCACCAGTTGGTGCAGCAATCACAGCATGATCACCTTCATCTACCCTCCCACCAATTAAGATAGAACCTGTTAAAAGGTCCCGGAAGGCCATTTTCCTTTTACAGGGACCTGTCTGGTTCTATGTTGATGGGAGTTACTTGAGTTGGCCCGACTCCAGCGCATCCATCTCCACGGCCGCTATCATGGGCTGCTCATAGACATGCCCGTCCCCATTGACCCTGTGGCCGAGGCATCTCGCAGCATTGCAGCGGGAAGTTGGCCTTGCCGTCGTTGCACTCGAAATCGTCCTCCCGTCGGCCCGGTACGACACATACAATTCTCAATGGAGTCCTGGATTGCACCCATTCAAAGCTCCAATCGAGTCGTGTGCGAGCGGAACAGCCCATCCACACGCTGAACACACTGCCGACCCCCGGCCGTTTTTGACCGGGGCTCCTCTTTGAGCTGGACGGAACCGACTCGGAAGCAAAGCGCTTCGAGCATGTTCTGGGCTCTTCGGGAGCCAAAGCCACATGGCCAAGAGGACAAAACCCCTAGGCCCAGAGACAAAACCCTAGGCCCAGAGGGCAAACTGACCGCACCAAGTGCCTTCTGGAGAAAGCCCCAAGCAAATAAGAACCAACAAAGTCCCCCAACACTTGGCAGGAAGAAGCAGGTGATATCACAGATTGGCTGGGCGCCTATTTTCATTGAGGGTAGCGAAAAAGGACTTTCAACATGTCGCTTGGCGTGACACCTCCCCTGCCAGTCCTCGCACCCCTGCGGCCTCAGCTTCCACCGACACGGGCTGAAGCTCACTCTCCGCTTAGGCCAGGCTGATGTGATCAATGATGTCCAGAGGGGTCAAATAGCGCATGTGCCGTGGACAGAAGTCAAAACTTTGTGGGGAGATGGCTGTGGCTCCCTCAGCATCCTGCTGCACCTTGCAACTGCTCGAACCTTGCCTTCAAGGCACGGACGTTACGTGACGCAGACGCAGATGTTGCATGCTGCCCATAGGGTGTAAAGCCATAGAACCGCCACAAGTAAACAACATGCAATCCAGTCATAAGCATCTATCGGACAACCAGTCGTCTTCCGAAACTTGTGCTGTTGCCACCTTGCGTCTTTGGTAATTGTGGGTTTACTGAGGTTGTTTTTTGGATTTGTCATCAAACGCGGTTGTCCCCCACTAACCTTGATCTGGGCTGGAGCTTGTCATTGTTGAATTTGGTTCCTGGCTGGATCTCTACATGTCACGACACACAACTATGCAAAATCATACCTTTGGCTTGGCTGTTTCAAGAACGTGGACATCTCAGCGCTCACAGCGCTTTGGCAGCTCCCGCTCAAAAATGCCAACTTTGGCAGTGCTGTGAGAACGCGAAGCGCTCTTTAAAAGTCCCAGCTCAAATACTTTTTGTCGGTACAAGTGCAGCATGCAAAGTGCGCTTTGGCAATGGCCCACTTTGCGAAGCCGACTAAGACTCGATCTCTTCTTTCTTGTTGTGTTTGTTGTTTAACAAATGCACACAGTTCTTGGCGAATTTGGATCCGCGAAAAAAAATACGAAAACACAAACATGCAGGCAAGTTTGCCATAGAAAACCACGTTGTTTTGGGGCAAGCAGTTTTTGCCCTAACTTCTGCGCAGTCACATTAGTTTGGACTACCGTCACTTCAAACAAACCTGCCTGCTTATGAGCTTTGCTACGCGGAGCTTGCGTGGCTTGTGGTGCCCTTTGAATAGCGCAACGACACAGTGGGTCAATGGGTCCACGACCTCCGCTAACCTGCTCTTACAAGCGCTCCTCAGTGTTGCTTTCTGTGTCAACTACTGCTAGTAACAAACTCGAAGTAGGAAGCTTTGTGAGGATTTCTCATTGGTAAGCTTATTTAAGCCCTCAAATCTAGGCTGGAATTAGGACCCCAGCAAAAAAACACTTTTTTGCCTGGTGAGTGGAACACACAGGGAACTCCCCAAAAAAGGAAGAAAACAAAAGAGCTAATTCTGGGGAAGAAATTGATACCTTCGCAAACATCTGTGGCCCCTGCAGGCCCGGGAGCCAGCCTGCGTGGGCACCGGCTGGTTGGCCACTCCAACTGCTGACCTCTTCCGTTTGGTGGACTTCCACTTGGTTGCCGCAACGACCCCCCTGCAAAAAGTGAGTTTCACTTTTTGGGGGTTTAGCGGAAAACCCAAATTGATGTCCTAAAAAGTTCAAGTCTAAAGATCCAACCCATAGTAGTCAAGTCCAGAGACCAAAAGAGAGGTTCCCAGTTTTTGACACGCACCCCTCAACCATGAACGGATGCTCTGAAGAACCCTTCCATGGTCGGCTTCTGCACAAAAAATGCATGGACACACTGACGACCACACAGGAACAGTCCAAAACAGCTGTGTGCTGTGTTGTCTTTCCCTTTGTCGGTCAGGTTGGCAAAACCTCTGGCATCTAATAGCCTTGCCACCCACCACTCATCGGTCACCATGGTAGCGAAGCCCGGCCTAAAAGTGTACCATTCGGCGTGGGTTTGATGTGCTATCATTGTGTTCCCGTCCAACTGACCAAAGGCGTGCATGCGCTCCAACCTATGTAACTAGTAGCACTACTCACCAAACCTATATTCCCTCAAACAATCATACACAAATTACTGGCAGTAATAAGCAATAATAACAAACCAATAATGGCATAACCAGAAGGACGATAGCAAGAATGAACATCATTACCTTGATAGACCTCAACTCAGAGCCCCAAGAATGCCTTCCTTCGGGTCCCGCTTTTGAGGTGCCTCGCAGACATAGAGAGCAAGAAGTGCAAATGGTGGCTGGTGGCTGGGGCAAACTGACCGCCACATCCAACCACACACTGGCGACTTGCGACTTGCGGCTTGCGGGGGTTCCCCTGACCCCTGCTTGGAAAATGTCGGGCACGCCGGGCATCACCCCAAACCTCCATGCTCAAGAGCATGGCGTGCGTTGGACCTATGTTCGATGCGAGCCGCTTCGTGGGATCTCACCGACCGCTTGAGTGCGTCAAGCCGCAGGTGCCTTGAGGCCTGGGCAGCTCCGCCTCTTTTTCCTCCGCGCCGTCGATCTGCGCGCTGGACATTGGCGGGCGGGCACCGAGCGTGCCCTGACGGGCGCCTTGAAAGCTCACTTGGCACCCTGTGCCGCGCACAAAAAGCTCCCCAGGGGAGAAGAGTCAGGTACGGCTGCACATGTGGAGGGCAAGGAAAACGTCTAATTTATGGGTGGGTGTGTGTGCATGAAGTGCAACTTTGCTTGGCAGCATTCATGCCGGCAACAGGGTCTTGCTCGAACCTCATATTGCGTCAACACGATCAATAACTGTATCATGGAAAGCGAAAACACCTAAACCAGCACGACGCCCGAAAAACACTCCTGAAGGGCACGAAACACGTTTCTTATTTGTTAACCGCAGTTTGCAGGGAAGTAGCCAACAAGCCAGACCTGGCCAAAAGTCAAAAGGGCACCGCAAATCCAGTAAGATTTCCATCAAGATCATAACACCCTCTGGCTCCGGGTGGTAGGCCAAACTGTGCCCAGCAACGTTTGCTGTAACACGGGGACGTTGACTTTCTTTTGGTGCTTGTTTGATTCATTGTTTTCGTGTTTGCTTGTTTCTTATTCCTTTGCTCGTCTGTCTGTCTGTCTGTCTCTCTGCCTCTGCCTGTCTCCGTCTGTCTCTGTATGTCCCTGTCTGTCTCTGTTGTTTGTCTCTGTCTGTACTGGGAAACCAACAAGGCCAGCAGGTCGATCTCGACATTCAGTCGAGCCCCTGTGCCAACTTGTGCACATCTATCTCGCCGCTGCTCTGCTCCCAAGCGACGCTTCCTGCGGGGCAAGGTCGCCCCGCAGATCCTGCCCAACGTCCAGTCGGACCGTCGGATGTGGCTCAAAAGTAGGGGCCCAAAATTTGGAAGCCGGCAAGTGGACAAGCAGACTAAAACCTGTGGAACCCTTCTCTTCAATTTTGAGCCACGCCCAGTTGAATTGAACCCTGGCACTGGACAAGCTCGCTCGGCCTTAGAGTTGGCTGCTCCCCTGGAGCCTGGGCCTTCAGGGATACGAACAAAATTACGTAAATGTGGATAAACGGCGCTCACATTGACTATGGAGTTATTGAGTGGAGGTCTCGAATGTCACTCTCGCATTCTTATTGCTAGGGCTCAGGGTTAGGATCGGTAGGTTGGGAGAGGTATGAGGTCCATATAAAAACGCCCCATAGTGCAACTGAAGCTGACTCCTGGGGCAACCCCCACGAAAAACAAGCAAAATTCCGGTGCCCAACTTTACCTCAATCACAACCGACCGCTTGCCGTTGCTGAACACCAGTACCTGGGATCCATTCGCATTGCGAACGGTGAGGTTGCTTCAATTCGCTTGGCTCTCAGTGTAGGGACAGCCGAAAGAGCCTGCTGATACAGTATCGGGAAGTGGGCTCAGAAAGACTGACTTGCATGAGAAGCCATCGACGAGGTGCTGAAACAACTCATACTTGGGCTCAACAATAAGGTAACACCCCCAACCTCCAGTTTATGAAAACTCTATGACAAAACTTGTGGTCCTCTGGGTAATCAACTTTGAGTGAACAGGAGCAGCGACATGATGGGCTCACAGCAAATAAAACGTGCAGAAGATGATTCCCGCATGCCCCTGAAATGTGACATTGCAACAACCTCACATTCGCAACATCTTCAATCACGACCAGCTTGGCAAGGCACTGATGCACATCGCCAAGCCGCCGAATCGGTCGGGAGTTGGCAGGGTGGCACTTCCCCTTTTTGCGCGTGGCAAGCAGGAAAACTGACTTGGGGAACTGTCCGACCTCGCAGGTTTACCTAACCTTTGCTTAAAGGGGCGATCGGGTACGTCAGGTAAATAGTTAGTAAGCGTGGTTTTAACCCACTGAACGGAGACTTATGACCATGGCTTCTGTGGGTTATAACCATGGCTACTAACCACTTACTGAGTCTCCTGCCCCTTTCAGTGGCGCTCCCCAAGAGTGATGTGTCTGACTTTGCGGGACTCCAATCCGAGGTGCGACTCGTGGCAACCAGATTCGGGCAATGCAAGTGCCACCCGGCCAAGCCAAGCTATACAAGGCAATGTACATTACGTCGGGCGCTGGCCGTAGTGCAAAGCCCCAACTGCGAATCTTTGGACCACTTGCGTCATGATGGCAAACTCTCATCAAACCAACACATTGTTGATTCAAAGTCCTGTCCGCCAGCAGAATCTACAACACCTTAAGGCAAATATCGGCCCTCCTGTGTCCAAGAAACAGGCAAACGACCTGCGCAAGCACCGTCCTCAGCAAATAGGCGCGCTTTGGCACGAATGCCGTTTGCTATGAAGCTTTTTGAGCGCGTCCTGTTTTTTTTTTTTTTTCTCGGTGCCTGCATTCCGTTCTTCATCAAATGCTTCTGGTAGTGCCAGCTGCTTTTTGGCAGAACATGCTCCTCGGTGAATCTGCCTGCCATGCGTTGAAAACGCTTATTTGACCATTCAGCACGTCAAAAGCAGGGCTCGGGCTAAGCACTTCTGGAAGACATCTACCGTCACCCGCAGCACCTCATGTGTTTTTTGTTCAGGTTGCTTTTTTTGTTGGAGAGTTGATTTGAGGCAAACACAAAAGACTTGCGCTGGCGGGACCCCCACGACACGAACTGACGCCGCACAACGGACCCCATTTCGGAACAAGACAAGTTGTCAGGTGCAACGGGCGCAGTTTGCACCTACCCCGGCAGGCAGGACATCAAATCGCACACCGCACGGCCGGGATTTAAATTCGCCCCGCGGAGCCTCCGGCATCCTTCCTCGGCTGCGTGCTGCCCGCCCAAATTCCGATACATGGGTGTCTTTGCTGAGGGTACACGTTTGGTTTTTGCTGGGCAAAGAAAAACCCAAAAAAGGACCAACCACCATTTTGGGGAAACAACAGACCCAAATAGCCGTAACTTAACACATGCCGCTGCCCAGTTGTAGGGAGGGTGACATGGTTGACTTTGCAGTAGAAGAAAGCAGGTATTCCAGTTCAAAAAGGAGAAAGCAGCTAGGGGGACCAGCCAACCAAGGAGGTGCACCAAACGGTCCACCTGTCGGGTGTGTCGTCTTGTGTTTGCCGGTGCCCGCAGGAGAGGCCAAATTGACCGGAATGCCAAGTTGCGTGGAATCGGTCAGCTCAAGCCTGACAAATGCATGGGTGCAACCAAAGCTTTGCTTGGTGTTTGTTCCAATCGCAACTTATTGTTGACACCACTATACAAAGAGGGTTTATTGTTGTATCCCAAGCAAAGGAGTCAACACTGCGCGATTGCACAGGCCAGGCTTTCTTGAGCCATTCATGTCATTCGCATCACGGTTGTTCAAGCAACTGTTTTCCGTCAAACAGGCGCAAGGAAGGGATTGTTTGAACCTTTGGCGACGCCCCCACAGCCAGCCTGGCTTCTTTTCTTGCTCCTGGGCTGACACGACCTGAAACGCTGGCAATGCGACACTCTAGACGGGGACCAACTTGAATCAGGGTTGAGGAATGCTCCCAAGAAAAACCAAGCTAGCTAAAGGTGCGCCCTCCATACATGCAACAGGGCCTTCCCCATGGGCTCACAGCAAGGGGGGGGGGCCTTCAACCGAGAAATATGGAAACATCCCTCCACTTTTTCATACCAACTGCTTCATTCCCTCTGCAGCCGCCTTCGGCAGCGTCTAGCCACCCGAGCATCACAAGAAGAATGCAGCACAACTCCAGAAATGGCCCCCGTGCTGCTTGCCCGCTCCAAGGGCGGGAAAGAAACAGAGTACATGTGGAGGCCTGTGCTACAGATCTGAGATCTCCCTGCAGAAGGCCCAGAGGACAGGGCTTATGGGGCCCGGTGCCAAAGAAAAAAAAACATTCAGACACTCTCTCCGTGCCAAATAAAGGGCTTGAAAGGCAAGATTAAACTACCGCCATCTGAGCTGGCGCCAAAGACCCTATTCCACTCCAATACATAGCCCTTGTTCCAAGCCTTTTGGTGGTAGCGTTTCCATCTCCTTGTGCTGTCCTT